TTCTCCAAATATGTTACGGCAAAGCAACTCTGGGAAGCGATTGATCATAAATATCGGGTCGAAGAGGCTAGCCAAGGAATGACATCTGGAAAGAAGCTGACACTCACTGAGGTTCTTCATGTGCCAGACATTCGCAAGAACCTGCTCTCTGGATCTGTGATGTCAAAGAAAGGCTTTAAGCTAGTGTTTGAATCTGAGAGAGTTGTAGTGTCAAAAGATGGTGTGTATCTGGGTAGAGGTTATCTAGCAAATGGTATGTTCAAGATGAATGTAATGACCATTTGTAACACCAATGCGGCAAACAATATAACCGCAAATGATATTAATAAAGCTTCTACTTCTTCTGCTTACTTGATTGAGTCAAGATTATGGCATGGTAGATTAGGACATGTGAATCTTAAGTCTATGCAAAGATTAATGTCTTGTAATCTACTGCCAAAATTTAAATTAGACAAAGACCACAAGTGTGAAGTCTGCGTTGAAGCGAAATTTGCTAAGTCTTCGTTTAAAAATATTGAACGAAGTACTGAACCTTTGGAATTGATACATACAGATGTATGTGATTTGAAATATGTGCAAACCAGAGGCGGAAAGAAGTATTTCATTACATTTATTGATGATTGTACTCGATATTGTTATCTCTACTTAATGAGAAGTAAAGATGAGGCAATAGAGATGTTCAATCTCTATAAAAACGAAGTTGAAAATCAACTTGGAAAGAAAATCAAAGCTTTGAGAAGCGATAGAGGAGGTGAATATGAGTCACCTTTTGCGCAATTGTGCGCAGATCATGGCATCATCCATCAAACTACAGCCCCATATACGCCAGAACAGAATGGCATTGCTGAACGCAAGAATAGAACGCTGAAAGAGATGATGAATGCTATGTTAATAAGTTCTGGATCTCCACAGAACTTATGGGGGGAAGCAGTGATTTCTGCTAACTTTGTATTAAACAGAGTGCCCCATAAAAGGCTCGACAAAATGCCCTATGAGTTGTGGAAAGGCAAATCACCTAGCTACAAATACTTGAGAGTATGGGGTTGTCTGGCTAAGGTTCCTATCCCTATTCCTAAACGAACTAGGTTAGGACCAAAGACAATAGATTGTGTGTTTGTTGGTTATGCACACAATTCGAGTGCTTACCGAATCTTGGTGTATAAATCAGATAATTCTGAAATACATGCGAATACAGTCGTTGAATCAAGAGACGCTTCATTTTTTGAAGATGTATTTCTCTACAAGACTCGGATAGAATTAGATCCAAGTGGTATGGAATCTCAAAGAATTCATGAATCTTCTAAGCAATTAGAGGAAGAAGATGAAGAGCCTAGAAGAAGTAAAAGGGCAAAGAAACCGACTTCTTTTGGTTCTGATTATCTAACGTTTATGTTGGATAAA